CAGTGGACCCCTGCGCATCGAGACATCGAAGCTGTGGTGTCGAGCGGGGCTGGTACTACGGAAATTCAAGATTGGCTCGGCAATGCCTGGGCGGACTTTTTCGCAAGAGTTGGCGCTGCTCAACATGCTGTCGCAAAGGTGACGACTGAGAGCGTGGCGTCCGCCCTGAAAGAGCACCGACTGGTTCTTCAGTATGTGTCCTGGGGAATCCAGAGGGTGGTGGAGTCTCAGAAGTACGGACGAGATGTGTTTCCAGGGCCCCGTCCAGTTGAGATTCGTGCGCCTGTGCTCTTTCAAAAAGCGGATGATCATGTATTGTACAAGAACGTCAAGACGGGCGTTTTCAAGTGTAGAAGGTGCGGGGCCTCAGCCCGCACGCCTGCATCCTTCGACAATCTGCGTGTGGGTGGGGGTCGGAAGTGTGTGCCCAGCAAGATCACCCAGGCCCTCACAAATGAGTTCTTCAGGACGTCCCTCGACGTGTGGGAGATGCCAGTGAGTGATGCGCGCGTGGCCGCTGCCCTCGATGCCGCTGCCGCCTTAGAGCCCCAAGGAGCCCCCGAGGAGGCCGAAGGAGGCCCCTCCCAGCCACCTGTGCTCGACGGGGCCTCTAGGGAGGATGTGGACCCCCTCATCCTGGAGTGTGGGGCTCTAGGGCACGATGTGTTCCGTGTTAATTCGATGTATTGCTGCCGTCGTTGTGCAGGGCATTGTTCAGTGTTGCAGGTTAATAGTCTCAGGAAGCTGAAGCGTGAGTGTGTAGGCCTCTCTGACAACCTCAGCACTCGGAGGAACCAGCTCAGGGCGATCGACAGGATCAGCCGTGGGCTCGAGCCACGTCAGCGAGGAGGGGACCCCGAGCCCCCGCCGTAGGCTGTTTTTTGGTCTGGGCCCCCAGGTCCCTGGCGTGTGTGGTCCTGGGGCCCCTCGCGTTTCCTGGTGTGGCCGTTTTTCCCTGTCCTTGTTTGTGCTGAGGTATGTCAGTCCAGCTGGCGTACTCTTGGTAGCCTGCACCCTGCACCCTCCTCCTCCTTGTCCTCCTCCTCCTCCTCCTCCTCCTCCTCCTCCTCCTCCTCCTCCTCCATCACACGGTGTGGTCACCGCGCCGTAGACCGGGGCCCCCGAGCCAACCTCGGCGGGGCGCCCACGACCCCGCCTCGGCCGGACTCCCGTGGCCCAGGCCTCGCTCGGGCCTCGGGGGGCTCCCCGCGCCACGCGCTCGCGCGCGCGCGAACCGCGCGAGGCGCGATCGGAGGCTCAGAAAGGGGCACCAACACCAACACCGAGGATTGCCTCCAGGGGGAGGCGGTCCTAGATGATTGCGTCGGTGGTAATATTTCGGCCACCCTGAAACCCGAAAAGTACCACCGTCACCGAGATCGGGATCATCTCCCCTCAGTGGAGGCACATCACCGATGTGGATGTTGGCGTCAACCTCTAGGCCTCCGGGGCTAGTTGGCCTCGCGCTCTCTCGCGCCGCGACCCCTTGACCAGGACGTCTCTCTGGGCCAGAAGCAGTCAGCGTCGAAGTGGCAAATCGGATGGACTCGAAATGCGCATCGAATCGGGACGCATCGGCAGGGAGTCGGACCTGAAGCGGATCTGAAGCGGAGCAGGATGCACAACGGCACCAACAAAATTCGGGCCGCATCAGGTCGTCGGAATATCGACATACATGGGACTCGACTCGGGGCGAGGCGGTCGGAATTGGTATCGAATCGGATCGAGATGGGCCTTGCTCTGGGCTGGACCGACAAGCGCGAGGCACGGCTGTCCTAGCGCCCATCCTCCTCCTTTCCCTCCGCCTGCCCAAACATCCGACGTCGTGATGAGGTCTGGACCCCTTCCCGGGAACTGGCCTCTCATGCTGAGCCCGTCTTGTTGACGGCACAAGGGCCTACCAGAAGGCCCCCATGTGCCCAAACCGGCAAAACAGCTGCCGTTGTCTTCGGCTCAAACCTCCCCCCCCACCCTTAGGTGCTCGCTTTGGGCACCTTGCGCTGAAGCCACTCGCTTCACTCGTGGCCCTCACGCTGTCTGCGCTGGACTCCTCGTGGGATGGGCCTTCCCTCTTGACATCATCACTGGCTGGCCAGCTCCTGCGTTCTGTCGCCGTCCTCGTCACCCAAATGGCGAGGTCGCGCTCTGCGTGGGCGCGTCGCTCCGCGGTGGGTCACTTCACGACCTCATCGCTAAAGTGGCACCCCTGACTCGGCATTCCAGTCGTCGCGATTCCTGCGATCTCACCTCGAGTCTGCGGAAGCTCCATGCCTCAAAAAAACCAAAGTTTAACCAGGCCGAGCATCGTTTTCTGCTAGGCATCGATCGTTTTAAACCCCGCCTTAATGACAAGCTCCAGTTTCGGAACCATTCTAGCTGTTGGGGTTTGCACTTTGGTTTCGGCTTAGGTTTTAGCTGAAGGTACTGGCAATGGTGTGAATGCGCCCAAGTTGTCTACGGAGCAGGTCGTCGTAGGTGGATGTCGGGACCAGACCTCTTTGCACTGCTTCCGGCGCGATTGCCAGATCGCCCCTCTCGGTGATCGCGTTTGTTGCGGCTGGCACCTGGCACCATGTCATTTGAAATCTCCTCGTGGGCTATCGAGCCGACGTCGGCTTGTGTCGGTGTCCCCCTCCCCATGAGCGAACCGCTGCGAACATGCATGGTGACATCATGCATCAGGCAGCGCAGCCACAGAAATGACAACGCGAGGTGGTAGCATTTGCCCTCTACACCGTCGCAATCCGTTTGCGCCGCCGCCACACTCTTGCTTGCGAAGGGCACTACTAAACAAAAGTGTTTCGAAATTGAGCAGTACATACTTTTTTATTTCAGATGCAGACCTGTGCGCGTAATCTGGCTAACACCAGCGCTCGAAATCAGCAGTCGGTTCAGGAGTATGGTGTTCGCCGCGGCAACCGAAAGAACATCTCCTTGCGTCAGTGGGACCAGGCGAGTGATCTCCCATACTGTGCGGGCGCGGCCGCAAGAAACCCTCGCAAAAAACCCAGCCTTGAGAACCCGTGCGCGAGGTGCACCTGAGGGGAAACCTGGAGCACCCTGAACCCTGAACGCAGCAGCTCATTCAACGGCTGCGGGAAGTTACCGCGCAGCGCGTGGAGCGAAGAAACCCAGGATACCCTGACGAACAACATATGGTTTCTTGATGCGCGCCCCCACTGTACGGGATGCTGTACGCCTGGTCGAACATAACAAACCTATCTTACATCTACCCATGTTTCATGTCCCTGCCGAACTTGAGGGCTGACATTGCTCGTCGCACGCAAAAAAAACATAATTTAAGAGACATGATCCGGGACCGATGACAGATTCCCGCTACCAGGACGCATCTCCCAGGTCTCTCCCGTCGCCAAGTCCCCGAACAGCTTCACCAAGGTCGAATACAAGGCCCAGTGTGGCTTCAAGATACTTCCGAAAAGGCTCCATTCAGGCTCCGAATTTGCAGATGCACGATGGTGGTGTGACTGATATCTCCTCGTGTGTGGCTGGTGATACCGCCTTTGTCTGCACAAAAGGTCATCCACATCCCTCATACCCTGACATACCGCCAGCGAGCCGTGTCTCGATGGAGCGCAGGGAAAGCAAAATGCATGAAACGCATCAAAAGCAAAGCCTTGGCGACACCGAGGGTTACAAGCGGATGTCAAGCTTCCGTGCTGGACTTACTCATTTCCTAAGCAACGATGTATGTTGTCATGGTTCTGCACGTGGTGTCTGCCGTTGACCATTGCGAGTGGAGCAGCGCCGCACATTCAAAAAGTATGCGAGCTGATTGTGAAGTGTCTTGACGTTGTGCAGGGGGTAGCATGGAGACAACCGAATCGCATTGACTGCCTCCCTTCGTTGAGGCACGCTGTACATTATTTCTATATCATAGCATTCTCTGACGGCACGGTATTGGTAGTGAATGAGTTGATGGCTTGGGGATAGGGGTGCGCCTTTGTTTTTCGATCTGGCTGAACTTTGCCTCGGCATGTTGATGAATCGTGGCTCTTGATGGATTTCCTGAGGCAAGAATGCGTACGCTACCATGCCAGCCTTGATTCAACGAGTTTGGGTTTTTTTTGCCAGCGGCCAGGCAGAGGCGGTCCCCTCCAGCGTGTGGAAACTCGGGGCAACCGAATGGCGAATTGGCCGGCATGCAAGAGAGGGACAAGTGACGAGGGCGGCCAGCGAGTATGGGAAACCACGGGTGGGGAGAAGGACGAGGGGCGGGGTCCGAGCACAGCAGGCACGTGCGATGAGAAACCTCGCCTCTGCACTCCCTGGGGCGCCCCAGGCTCTCCCTCGGGCTCCCCTAGGGGGCTCACACGCGAACCCTACCCCTGCCCCCCAGCAATCGTGGGGGGCACGGGATAGGGTTCGCATGTGAGCCCCTCTCCCCGGCGCCAGCGGAGAGCACGCTCGGGAACGTTTGCTTCGAGCGCCGCGGCGGCGGCGGCCCCGGCGGCACGCTGTGCGCCAGAAGCGGACATGTCGCGCCGCTCCGCGCCGCGGGGCGGGAGGCCGGGCAAAGCTCGGGACGCTGTCAGGAGGGAAAGAAACACACAGACACAATGAATCGTCGATCCCCAAGAAAATATAGGAAAATATGGGGATGGGTGGGGAAGACAGAAACCCAGAACATATGAGAAAATATGGGACATTCTTTTATTTGTGTGTATTTGTTTGTGTGTCCTGGGGCCCCTTCACGCTGACGCCCGGGAAGTGGCTGACGCGTCGCGCCGAAGCGCGGTGGGCCAGAGCCGGCGCGGAAGCCCGCCGTCCAGAAGCTTCCAGCCGTGAGAGGTCCCCGCGGGGCAGGGCTCTCGGTTGATGTGCCCACCTACAGGGCAGTTTTTAATACATTTCATGTTTAGAAGCATATGATTTTTAATACATGACTAAGTTATACATGAATGTATGCATGAGCTCATCGTTGTTTTGAATACTAAATCCCTGCGTTTTTTTTAATACAGCATCCGCATGCGGAGCATGTATTAAAAACGGCACTGCAGTTGATGCGCCCACCCAGCGGGCTGGAGCTCCACCCCGATGATAACCACCCCGACGAAGCAACGGTGTCGTAAACGCGCCCGGCGACGGAAGCGAAGAAGGAGGCGCTGCTCCGCAAACGCACAGGGGCCGTTCAGTGAACGACGATGATGGGGGGTCGGGGTGGATTTGTCCTCGTTGACCACCTGCGCGGCGGGCGCTGCAGGCAGCCTGCCGTCGGGCCGCGGCGGCGCACTCCATGCACCGCCAGATGGGGCAGCCTCCGTCTGCCGTCCGCCAGCCGCACAAAACTGCGGAGAAACGCGCTTGGAGTTAGGTCGGGCGTGTCCTCCTACAGGCGGAGGTTGGGCCAAACACAGACAGCATCCAACACAGAGTCAAAAAGCGAGCTAAACATGCTAGAACCATCGTCCCCTGACTACTTGTTGCTACGTTTGAATCTTACTCCTGTAGAGGGACATGCCCGACTTAAGCCTGGAACATATTCCCATGCCTCCCCAGCACTATGTCGGCGGCGAGCTCAGGGGGGAAGGGAGAGGGGAGCCCACGCAGAAACCGAGCTGCGAGGAGGCGATGATTTATAATTCCGACTATTCCCGGTTGAAACTTTATCCAACCGCGGGCAGGAGACTCGCCGTGACCCTCACGCGTCAGTCGCGATTCTCTTCATCGCCGTCATGTGGCCTCGCAGCACGCGGCCGATCTTCTCGACAGGGTGGTTATAGATCTCCTCGTTGATCTGTGTCAGCTTCACGTTGTCAACGCCGTTGCTGCCACTCTTGTTGTACTTGGTTCCAATGATGTCCGTGTCAACCTTCGTGAAGAAATCCTTCAGGAGCGGCACGCACTCCGCAGTGTACAGATAACACCCGTATTCGGCCGTGTCTGAGATGACCTTGTTCATCTCGTACAGCTTCTTGCGCGCGATGGTGTTCGCGATCAGGGGCGTCTCGTGGAGCGACTCATAATAGGCGCTCTCTGGCTTCATCCCGACGGCCACCATCTCCTCAAAGGCTAACTCGACGCCTGCCTTGATCATGGCCACCATGACAATGGCGTTGTCGAAATACTCCTGTTCGCTGATTGTCATGCTGCCGGCAGGAGTCTTCTCGAATCCTGACAGGGCTGTTTCCTCGCGCCACTTCAACAGATTCACATCGCCGTTGTCCCAATCCTCCATCATAGTCTTCGAGAAGTGGCCGGTGATGATGTCGTCTTGGTGCTTGAAGTACAAAGGTGCCATGATCTCCTTAAGCTCCGCGGCCAGCTCGAAGCACTTGACCTTCGAGGGGTTGTCCAAACGATTCATCATGCCGGTAATGCCGCCGTGCTTGAGCGCCTCCGTGATGGTCTCCCAGCCGTACTGGATCAGCTTGGACGCATATCCTGTTAGCATGCCCTGGGGGAAAAAATGTCCTGAGGGAAAGGGGGTCCTGGAAACCAGGGCCTTCCCCCAGGACCACTTCTTCATCCTGCCTTCATCCGAGCCCGTGGAAGGTCCCGGGGGCCCGAGAACGGCGCAAAGCCTCCGGACCCGTTTCCCTCGGGACGCGCTTCCGCCATGGCGAATCCTGGGTCGATGCCCTTCTCGAACATCTTGTCGAAGCACAGGACCGCGCCCGTCTGCAGCATGCCGCACAGGATGGTCTGCTCCCCCATGAGGTCGCTCTTGACCTCGGCGACAAAGGAGCTCTCCAGGCACCCAGCCCTGTGGCCGCCGGTGGCTGCCGCGTACGCCTCGGGCGGGACTCGCGGCTGTGTCCGAGCGTGGGGACCATGACAGGGGAGGCGTCGACGCCCATCCCAAGCTTCGTGGGGTTTACCAGAAAATGTGGGGCCCAACCCTGGGATGTACGATGGGGGGGGCGTCCACCTTCGATGTGGGTGCGTCCGGATAGCCCTCTTGGGGGTGTGTCCCAGAGTTCCCTCATGCTCTGAGCGGCCAAACTTTTCGGGCGGAACTCGGGACTGAGGGAGACAAATCGCCTGCGACACCAAACACTGAGCTGTTTCGCTCTGTGTATTTGCTGCTCTCTGTATATGTATGTGTATGTGTGTATGTATGTATGTATGCATGTATGTATGTATGTATGTATGTATGTATGTATGTATGTATGTATGTATGTATGTATGTATGTATGTATGTGTATCTATATATATATGTATCGCCGCACCGTTTGTCCTCGACGCGCCCGCCCAAGTTGAAGGCGCCGACACCAAGGCAAACACACCAAGGCAAACACACGGCAAGCCGCGCCCAAGGAGACGCAGCCGGTGCCGCGGCAAACCCACGGCGAGCCCACCGCGCCCGAGGCGGTGTTTGCCCTGGTGGCCGCGGCGACCTCCCCAAGGCGGAAAGCCGCGCGTCGGCACAAATGTCGTGGCGACATATAAGGTGTTACGGGATGCCAGGTAAGTTGGGCAAACTGTGTGGGCAAAGCTGCGCAGTGCAAATGATGTGGCGCAGTCGATGTTTTCCATCTATGGGGTGCAAACAGTGTGGCGCATTCTGAGCCGTGCAACCAATTCTGCGCAATCAGAGAAGTGCAGTCTATGAGGTGCAGCACTTGGGTGCGAGCCTCTTTCCCCAACAAGTGCATTCTACTTTCCATGAGGTGCAGTGTTTTGGGTGCGCTTCGGGGTTCTTACCTGTGCTTTCTATAGAATTGGATGAGTCAACCGAGATTTCGCCTGGTGCCCGCCAGCCGTTATCGCCTCCTGCGCTGGAAGGGTCAGCCGAGGTTTTGCCTAATAACCCGCCCATGGGCGCCAGTCTTGCGCCTCGTGGCCTCGTGGGCGCCTCGTGCGCCAGGCGGGTCAGCCGAGGATTCGCACGGGGCCTGCTCGTAGGAGCCTCGAGCGCTGGGCGGGTCAGCCGAGGATTCGCCTGGTGCCGCCCGAGGGCGCCTCATGGGCGCCTCTTGCGCAGGGCGGCGGAATAGCTGGCACCACATCACTTATGGTCACATTGCTTCCACCACACAGCTTACACCACATAGCTTTTCCCCAACGGCGAACACCATACCTGACACCACACAGCTGACACCAGCTAGCTTGCACCGCCTCGCTTACATCTGCACGACACATCTTACACCACCGCAGATAGTGCACCACATAGCTTGCACCACAAGACCTGTGCCACATAACGTGCAAATGAACAGTGCTGCATATACCCTTTATGATTCACACTGGCGACACATGGGGAAACCAAGAGGTACTGATACCGCTACTCCCCGAACCTCTCCTGGGGTGCGTTCTGACCAAAATTCCGCGGCGAATCCGACTGTGGCGACGAGGGCCTCCGAGGAGGCCGAAAAGAGGGGAAGACAGAGCGGCGAGAGTAGCGGGATGGGGACAGTCGGAGCTGGGCCAGAAGAGCATCCCTCAAGAACATGAGACCCTCCGTCGACCAACAAAGGCAGAACATCCAAGGGCACCCTCCCCGGGATGCACACGAACATCCAAGCAGCACGAAGACCACCAGGGCGCCCTCCCCGAACCGACCTCGATCCCGCACCTCGGCCCGACCGCACCTTGCCCGCCTCTGCGAGACACCGCAGCGCGCACCGACACGCACAGGCCAGCGAACGAGGCGGCGCCGGAGGCCCACCGCCCCGAAGCGCCGCAGCCAGCGCGCGGGGGCGGCGACGACGGCGGCGACGGCCGCCCGCCCGGCGAAGACCAGGACGTGCCCGCCGGCGCCACGAGGCGGCGACGAGGCGGGCGACGGGGCGCCGACGGGGCGCCGAGGCGAGGGAGGCGCCAGCCGGCGCCACGAGGCGGCGACGAAGGGCGGAGGCGGGCGGGCGCCGTGAGAGAGCCGGGGCGCGGCAGCCAGAGCGCACGAGGCGGCGGCGAGGCGGCGGCGGGCGGCGGCCGTGACAGAGCAAGCACGGCCGGCCTCGGCCCAGGGTGGCCCCAAGGATGGCTCCAACGATGGCTCCCAGAGGCTCCGGGGGCGAGCAGTCGACGAAGACCGTCGTGGTTGTCTGCGGTCGTCGTTGACTTCATCATTGCCTGATTCCTCCCCCATCCTCCTCCTCCTCCTCCTCCTCATCATCATCATCATGCTCCCATTTCCTCCCCCTCCACGTTCGCACCAGGAGTTCAGTGGGAGGGTGTTCAGTCAAATTTCTGCCCTTTCCCCTTTCCATCCACCTCCCTCCTCCCCCTCCTCTTCCAACCAACTCCTCCGCTTCCTCCTCCCTTCTCATGATCCCCCTGATCCTCCTCCTCCTGTGAAATGTTCGTGAAGGCCATCACGGTTGACTCCTGTTTGCCGCCGCCCCCCCCCCCCCCGCGGCGAGAAAAAAGTTTGCTGTTGGCCCCCGAGTCTCCCACAGGAAAACAATTGCAGTTCAGTTTCCACCGTTCCGAGAAGGCCCTCGTGATTGAGACATGAGCGTCTCTGGGGAGGCCTTCGCGTCGGCCCTACCAGAAGGCCTCCAGGCGAAAACAATAAGGAAGTGGATGTGAGTTTGCGCGGCAGCTGTGACCCCGAATCTATGTATGACTCTGCATGCTCCCGTACTTCCTTTGCCCAAGCTGCTCTCCTGGGATTCGTGTCTGGACTTGCCTGTAGAATTCGTGATGCGAATGGAATCGCCGATCCTCTGCGGCACCGCTGCAACCTTGCATTCAAGAAAGATGACGGACCACGCATCCTACAGACCTGCACGGGAGCAATGCTCCGCTCAACACGACGCCACGCACCTCAGACTCGCGGACATGAGCCGCTGCAGTTCCTACATCGAGCTGGTCGCGTACATTGATTCATTTCCTCATCTGGGTGCCGGCGGAATAGCGCAAGACTCTATAATCCATGTGGCAAGCTACATGCAAGCTGAAATATGTCAAACATGTTGCGAACCAAGCGCCAGAGGCAAGCTTAAGCAGGAACAATTGGGGGGCATCTTCGAGGAATGCGGCGTCGGGAATTACATCCTTAAAAAGCCTGGAGAAGATAAGCTCGACGCTGGGCAGC